ATGCAATATAAGCCATGGACCACCAGAGGGCACCCTTTCTCTACTCTCCCTTGCCAGCTTTCAGGATAGCACCAACACCCAGAACCTGGCAACCTGTAAGATAAGAATTAAAAGAGTACCTCTGATTGCCCTTCTCTCATCTCCAAGCACATCTCAGCTGGCTCTCACACAGCTGGGATCAAGTGATCCTGACTCACAGGGTGAACATCTCTCAGATTCCATAGTTGTGACAAAACCATAATCTGATGAGGGTGGCTTTGCTGTCCCCAAAGCGTGAGTGGGGAGTCGTGTCCCCAGGAATCTACATGTACAGCAAGAACATCTGAAGAGAAGGAGCCTAAAGTTTCAATAAAAATTATATGGGGGGTGGAATGAAGATAAGGAGACTTCATTCTTTGTTTAATGATTTCAGCAGCCTGATTCATGTGCTATAAGTCCTCATCTGCACTGTTAAAGTAGTAGCACACCACTTTAAAGGGTCGTGATTTTCCCCAAAGAATCCCAGAAACTGTGGTAAGGTGTTGTTAGGAGACCATTATTCTCCTCCAAGAGCTACAATTCCCTAAGCTCCTTGGGAAGAGAGATTGACTGTTGACATATTCTGTGAATTGTACCTCCGAGAGAGGGAATAGGGGTCTCTTAACAACCTTGAATTTAAGATAAAAAAGTGAGTAACCTAGCTAAGTAGAACTGGCAGATTCATCCATCCTGTACAAACTGGGTGTGTTGTCAACCACTGAGCCTCTTTGGGCTTGCAGATCAGAAGGTCAGTGGTTTGAATCCATGCGACGGTGATGAGCTCCCATTGCTCTGCCCCGGCTCCTGTCAACCTAGCAGTTCAAAAGCACACCAGTGCAAGTAGGTAAATAGGTACCACTGAGGTGAGAAGGTAAACAACATTTCCATGAGCTCTGGCACTTGTCACAATGTCCCATTGCACCACAAGCGGTTGTTGTTGTTGTTATTTGAATTTATATACCACCCTACATTTGGAGGTCTCAGGGCAGTTCACAGAATAAAATCAAAATAGAAAACCACAAAATACATAATCAAAATAAAAACAACCACCCAGTAACCCCCCACCCCCAAAAAGCACATTTTAAAAGGGCATAGGATCCTCACAACATTTAAAGTAAGACAATCAACAAACCTAGACAGGAGCCACTCGTTGGAAAGGCCATGATGTCGGAAATGTTTGCAGAAATATTTATTGGCAACCAAATTGGCCAGATGCTTTTCTGATACAAAGACAAAAATTGCTTTGAAATAAGAGTGGGAGGGGAAAATTAGCTTTGGTTGTTGAGCAGATGTCATGCTGCCAACATGACCCGGAAAGCTGTCTGTGGACAAATGCTGGCTCCCTTGGCCTGAAAAGTGAGATGAACGCCACACCCCATAGTCGCCTTTGACTGGACTTAACCATCCGGGGGTCCTTTACATTTACCTTACTGACTGCTGTTTATCATGTAAAAATATTTCTCTCCGCAGGTTCTTTTGTATCTCAAGAAACAAGAAGCAATTAAAGCCCCCCACTGCAGGCTCCCCCCCCCCCGATGAAATATGCAGTCCGAGGACCAAGTCGTAGTGAACTCAGTAAGCCTTGCTTCCGAGTAAACATATGCAGGACCAGGCTTCAAAGCATACCGGCTGCCTTTTGATGAAATTAAATGTCTGTGTTTGCATTTTGGCTTAATGAAATGTCAGGTTAACTTCCCTCCTAATGAAATGTCCACATTTTCAAGCAGATGGCAAACACACCTCCTTAATGTCACAAGAGGTTTGGCTTCTGACTTCCTGCAAATAGTAATCGAGGGTGAGACTCTTAAGCGCTCACAGCCTGCTACAATGCGACCCGAGAGGGAGAATTTCTTTAGAATTACTATTATTTTACAACTTTGGCTTTTTTTCACTTTGGCTTTAAAAGTAATGGATGAAATGGATGAAAAAAGATCATTGAAACGAAATAGCTCTTCTATTGGCAGGGCAGCTGACCATCAGGCAAAATTTGGTTAGGATATCTTACACGTTTTTTTGCAAACCTTAGCTGGCTGGAGAACTGCATTGCAAAATTCTGGTACGTGCGAATTTCAATGGCTGGTTGTATTTCGGTTCACAGATTGTCCTGGAAAGTGTGAATTTAACAGATTTGCCCTCAAATGCATACCAAATTGAATTTCTCTTCCCTGGTTGTTGAGCATGTTCTTGGAAGCATGACCCCTCTTTGGTATGCTAAGTGTGCAGTGGACAGCCAGTGAACCTGGCTAGAGAATAGACTTTACCTGTTGCAACCACACACAGAGATACTTGAAAGTAATAAAAAATAACAAAATAATTGCTGGAAGTGCATAACTTGGATAGAATTGTTTCTAGTTCTAACCTAGCTAATCTTGCTCCTTCGCTCTTAGAGGGTCCGAGAGAGAAGAGTGAGAAGGAGGAGGAAGTTGTAAACAGGATGCAACCATAAGACATATCAGTCTAACATCAAAGAGATAGGGAGGTCAGCTGAGAGGTTAAAGGCACCGGGACAGTCTGGGAATCTGGAGGTCCCTCACTCTGTCTTTGGTTCCCAAATACAGAGGAACACCTCATTTCAACAATTATAAAAAATGATTCAGAAACCATTTGGAGTTTTTCATCTATGGAGACACTGCATCATTTAGATGTTTATTTAAAAAGCACATAAAACCCACAAACTTGGAAGAGGAAACACCATACATAAACAGGAAACCATAAAGCACATGGAAACAATATAGCAACCTTATTTGTTAATTTGAAAGGCAATATCCTACCTATGGCTTATCGAGTGCATTTTACTGTTTAGATTGCATAGATTTTACTGTATAGATTGCATTTTACTGTTTTCCCCTGATATTTGTTGTTTAGGACCCAGAAACTCAGATATTCTCTGCAAGAGTTCTGTTCAAATGAACCCCTATGTTTTCCCACCTACCTTCTCCCAACAGAGCTTCTTTAAACTCATGTGCAATTCTAGAAATGTAAGTAGCTTCACTTCTGCAATTACAGACATAACTCTAGCAAAAGTACATCTCCTCCTTCACTGAATTCTTGCTTGCTTTGCACACATGTGGCTAGCAGTCCTATTTCCTTGCACTTAGCATTGAACTACAGTCCAACACAAGATTAACCCTGGAAGCTGGTCCATTAGGTCACTGCCTTACCAGCCACAGTGTGCCCTCAGCCAGCCCCCACCTGCCTGCCTTCTTGCAGTTAGTCCAGAGGGTGGCACTGACCACCAGCTTCCTCCTTCTTAGTCTCAGTGTTGCCTCTTGTGGAACTCATCAGGGAGGTGGATGAAAACAACACTAGACTTATCTGGCTCTAGTTGTCATTGGCTCTGACTCCACCTACTGTTGGGCTCCTGCCTTACACCCTACCAGCCCCAATAAGCACCAGCCACTATGTTTAAATCCAAAGGGGATGTCTTGCTCAATGGATGCTGCACAACATGGACCCAAACTTTTGAAAAGGATACCATTTTCTGTCTACAAAAAGCCGTACTCTAGAGTAGGGATGGGAGGATATGTCAGTTTTAGTTTTCTAAGTTTATTGTTTTTCCAATCTTAAATTCAGTTCTCCACATTTCACAGCAATTTGCGACTCACTCAAAAAAATCCTAATGCAAATTCATCACTCTTTTAGAGCTAATTTATCCTGATAAACATTTTTGTTTTTTGCCACACAACCTTTACTAATATTTACATTTTTGCAAGCACTTTCACCTGGTAAAATGCACTTTGGTATGTTATTTTCTCCAGCATGTCCTTTTCTATCCACACTTTCCCCAAATATATGTATTTTTTTAAAAAAAAACATTGGCTGGAGAACTGCATTGCAAAATTCAAGTAAGAGTGGCATTTGAAGGAAAGCTGTGTTTTGGTTTGGATATTGTTTCGGAGGGTGAAAGAGGAGAGTGCAAAATATGGTCTGAAGCTCAACATCAAAAAAACAAAGATCATGGCCACCGGGCCCATCACCTCCTGGCAAATAGAAGGGGAAGAAATGGAGGCAGTGAGAGATTTTACTTTCCTGGGCTCCATGATCACTGCAGATGGTGACAGCAGTCACAAAATTAAAAGACGCCTGCTCCTTGGGAGAAAGGCGATGGCAAACCTAGACAGCATCTTAAAAAGCAGAGACATCATCTTGCCAACAAAGGTCCGTATAGTTAAAGCCATGGTTTTCCCAGTAGTGATGTATGGAAGTGAGAGCTGGACCATAAAGAAGGCTGATCGCCGAAGAATTGATGCTTTTGAATTATGGTGCTGGAGGAGACTCTTGAGAGTCCCATGGACTGCAAGAAGATCAAACGTATCCATTATTAAGGAAATCAGCCCTGAGTGCTCACTGGAAGGACAGATCGTGAAGCTGAGGCTCCAATACTTTGGCCACCTCATGAGAAGAGAAGACTCCCTGGAAAAGACCCTGATGTTGGGAAAGATGGAGGGCACAAGGAGAAGGGGACGACAGAGGACGAGATGGTTGGACAGTGTTCTCGAAGCTACAAACATGAGTCTGACCAAACTGCGGGAAGCAGTGGAAGACAGGAGTGCCTGGCGTGCTCTGGTCCATGAGGTCACGAAGAGTCGGACACGACTAAACAACAACAATTGTTTCGGCAAGTGCAAAATTGATCAAATTTTCTTATGTGCATTGAATTGAATTTCTCCTTTATCTCTACTCTAGAGCACTTAGTTTTTGTATTTGATGCCTTTTTATTCCTCTTTTCCACCTTGGAGCAGCATCCACAGATTTAAAATAAAGTAGCCAGGCCCTAATTAGCTCCAGAAATTGCACCAATCCATATACCTTCAGTCCACTTTCTCTCCTGAGCATCTAAGGAGTAAACATTCATTACACAGTTGCTGAATCTACAGCTCTAATTTTTAAAACACTGAACTAGTACCAGTCACACACGAAAGCCTATAGCAGCAGATCCAACTCTTATTTTAAGCACAAAGCCAACCATATACACCATCATGTGCAAATAAACCATATTATTTTATTTTTAATTTATTTCCTATAATATTCACATAGTTTCCACTCCAGAAGACCGCTTCCAACCAAGGTGGCCAGATAAGGACAAGACAGGCATTTGTTAGGTTAAGATAGACAATACTAGGCAATATTTTGTAGAGTGCAAAAATATTGTAAAATGGCTTTTCAGTATAGTTACAAGGCCAAAATCCCCTGAGTGAGCACGTTCCCCTTTCTGAACACACAAACATTTATTCTATAGACAAATGTACTCTGCTGAAGAACCTTCAAAGATAGTTGGCTGGTAAAATAGTTGGCTGGTAAAATAGTTGGCTGTGAGGATACTATCAGACCAGCTAGTGTGACATGGTGATTAGATCTCCTGAATTAAAGAAATAAATAAAGACAAATGCAGCTCCTTGAGGATGGGGTTACAGATCTGTATCAGTGTTTGGAGGATTTTCTCTTCTCAATCTATACACCCTCCTTTTCTATCCTACCATCTCCCCGGTTGAAGTTAACACCAGGACAAAGGTCAAGAAAGGTATCAGAAGAGCTACATGCCCGCCTGGTTTTTCAGTAGGTACAATGCAGACATAGTCAATTGGGAAATGACCCTCAAGAGGGCCACAAATGGAATAACAGTGAGGAGCAAAATTATGACTATTTTGGGGACTGATACAGTCCTTGTACAGCTGTCCCAGAATGTTGAGGGTGTCATCTGCTCAGTCAACACATCAAATATCCAATTGGAAGACTTAGCGCTGGTTTTGGCATGGGAGTGAGGCGGTTCCCAAGCAAGGACCTTCTCTTACCTTCTTCCTGCTTAAGTGAGGGATAAAAGAGTACAGTCCACCAGATTTCTCCCATATTACAGTCATGATGTGCTTTCTTTTTTCCAAACAAAGGGGGGGGAGTCAATCAAGGTGGTCATCCAATAGACCAATCAGTACACAGAACTGAAATCAGATACTAATTCAGAGAAGGGAAGAGGAAGGTGGAGGAAGGCATAGACTCTGGGGGTAGAATGAAGGGGTAGACAAGGACAACTATAAAAAAGGAGACAGCATAATCTTCCTTCTGATACATAGGTCACCCCAAATGCAAGGTCCAACCCTATTAATTTATTCTCTTACATTTCCACTTCTGCTCCAAAAGGCCAAGTTAGCTTAGCACAACCTGTTTGCTAGTCCAGAAATAGTTCTTAACTGTTTGGAAACATTTGCCACAAAGGCGGGGGTGGGGGTGGGGAATCAATGGCATTCTTTCCAAGAAAGTAACCATTGTATTGCATTTTGCCTCAGTGCAAGCAGCCCAATGAAACAGGGGTGCAATTAATGCAGCCCAAGTGATAAAAATAAAAATAATAAATAGAATAATTGACTCATTAAAACTAGTTAGATAATTTTTTAAGCAATTAATTTTTTTATCTTTGCCTTCTCTGATAAAAATTTTAAAATGGCTTTTTTTTAAAAAAAAGATAAAAATCCGTATGTTCTTTATATTAAAAATAAATAAAATACAAAACATCAACACATACACAAATATATTCGGCCTTTTAGATTCAGTCTTCTTTTTTATCAGAGACACTGACAATGGAATGGTCATCATCACTGGCCTGAGGACAAACTTTATTCCTTGGCACCGAGGCAATTTCTGAAACTGGGGTTTTCACAGTCGGCGTGCTGCAAGTACCGGTAAATTCTGTCTCTGGAAATATTTGGCAACGTTGTAGCTCGAGGTATGTTGTGAACAGTTTGGCGTATTCGGGATGTTTCAAAGCAAAATCCTTGAACTCTTCTGAAAATCGAGAAACACAAGAAGTTATTTCTAACACTAGGGGAGTTTGGGCATTGGGTTAAACCATAGCTTTAGCATGAGCTTCTGCTTTTGCTGAAGTGCACCTCATCATGTCGTCTGGACTGATAACCTGTGGTTTGACTGAGACTAGCCAACTTCAAAACATGTACTGGGAAATTGGATTGTTTAAACAAACCACGGTTAATATTAAACCACAGCGTTAGGTTCAGACAAAAGGCTACTGTCCCTGTTTCCATGTCAGGGTAAACTGGCTCCATTCAGGAGCTCAAGTTAGGAGCTTCTGAGTGAAACCCATCTGATTGGGCCTTCCTTTTGGCACTAAATTCAAAAGCTGCTGAATGCAAGCTCTACTTGTTAAGGAACAATTGAGATTGCACTTGAAGTCTTCCAATTGTCCTTTTTCAGCCGCAGCTTTACCTCCCCGACACCTGACTCCCCATGACATCAGATGTGGGGCAGCTAGGCTTGGCTGTGGGAAAAGCAGCCTCGCAGGTCAAATAAATACCTCTGAGAACCCTAATTTAGCCCGGAGGTTCCTCCCCCCCTGCACTAAACTATGATTAAGGGTACGTCTAGATAGACCATTTACTGCACATTCAATCTGATTTGTTTGCAAGGAGATTAGACGCCACTGGCTCTTTAAAGAGCCTTCATTCTCATTTGCTTGCAGGGAGGTTAGATGACATTGCAGATGTCATCCCACACTTTCCAGAGCATTTCCCCACCACTTTCCATGTCACAAAAAGTTGAATCTTTTGCAAAAGGGAGTTGGTTGCTCAATACCACCAAAACCATTCTAAATGTACGACTTGAATCCCACCTGAAAAGAACAACAGACTGGAAGCGCTGGAACCGTGATATCCAAAAATGATAGTTAATTACAACTTTTAGGGGGCACCATACTTACAACAATAAATGCTTAGAGGGCTGCAGTTACACTACAGATGTAAAAGGAGGTCTACCTTGTTGAGCTATCATTGGTTTCTGAACAGAAATACTGGGACTGTAGGCAAAACCTAAGGATTCACCCAGTCAACTTGGCATCCTCAGGTCCAGACAACAATTCCCAAGGAAGCAATGACACTTTAGGCTTGGCGACACTTACCATAGGAGAGCTTTTTAGAGTTGTCAGCGTCTATTTCCTTGAACAGATTAGAAACGTCAAGGCTAGGAAGCCCAAGCGCTGAACGCATAATTAAGCTAAATTCGTCTTCGTTTATGATGCCATCTTCATCGACGTCAAAGAGCTGTAGAAAAGAGGCACGTGCTGATGTTTCGCAATGGGAACTGTTGTTACATTGGGAACAGCCAAAAGGGCTTTACAGTTAAATAAGTCAAGGGAATTACAGAGGAACCCTCAACAGATGGAGGGTGGTGGCATGGCACATCAAGGGAGGGTTAGGAATTTGAGCAAACCATACATCACTGTGTAAAGTAATGTGAGATGGGCACTCTTGATAAGGCTGCAGTTTAGATAAAGAGACTAGATCAACAGACTAGATAAATATAAGCATTTGCTAATTCATTTAATGCATGAGCTTTCTTGAAATGAGTCATTTAATCAATAAGATAAATATTTTACAAAAGAAATTAAAGGAAAACAATGCCATATGAAGGCATTAGGCATTTTCTATTTCACCAGGAAACTCTGGCTGTATCTACATGCTTTTGTGCAATAATTTAGATTTTTAAAACTCCCCCTCCCCCAGTTTGCAGCAATCTATCTGTTATGTACTGAGTTGAATAGGATCCAAAAGGCAGCATTCTGATTGGTCCTAGAACAATAGGATTCAGAATGCAGCTGAATAAAGAGCTTGAAATCCACTCTCGACTCCGAGTATATTTCACTATCTTTTAAAAAATATTAAACCTATTGACAATAATGGCCATGACTACTCTACTAAGTCCATTGACTTCAATGGGTCTACTCTGAGCAGTACTTTGTTAGAGCCCCCCCCCCCCATGGATTTTGAAAGTTTATATGTATAGCGGAACTCTTTTTGGAGTTAAGATGCTAAGCTTGAGAACTTACCTGAAATGCCATTTGAATGGTCTGTTCTGTGTTGGCAGGGTTGCAAACCACGGACAAACCAATAACGTACTCTCTGAAGTCTATGGTACCATCTCCATTCTGTAAGAAATGCAGGGCAACATTCAAAGGGTATGTGCTGCTCTCCCCTCCCTGACATTGTTGGGCCACATTCACTGCATACATTTAAAGCACTATGATGCCACTCTAATCAGCCATGGTTTCCCCATAAGGATTATGGAAGCAGTAGTTTGTTGAGGGTGCTGAGAGTTGTTAGGGGACCCCTATTCCCCTCACAGAGCTACAGTTCCAAAAAAATGATCAACCATCAATTCATCTTCACAGCGAATTCTACTTGTCAATCACACCCTACAGAACATCACAATGCAGTGACACAAAAATGGGTGTTTTCTGCTGTTGCCCCTCTTCTGTGGAATGCCCTCCCCTCTGTTATATACATAAAACGGCAACCACCAGCTGCTTAGACATCTTGTGATGATTTATCTTTTCATCCAGGCTTTCCCTGACCCATAAGATTGGACTGCTTAATATGTTTTGGGTCTTATACATTTCTTAGGGTGGCCATATTTCAAGGGATAAAAAATCTGGACACAAAAAGTTGTTGAGCTTTTTTAGGGCAATTGTGCCCGTGCCAAAGACTGAACCAGAGCTATTGGTGCACACACACACAACCCAAATCCTAGACATTTGCTTTAAAATGTAAAATTCCCCCCGGATCGGATGTGCATGAAGGACCCCCAAAAGAGGACATATCTGGGAATTCCCGGACGTATGGCAACCTTAACATTTCTGCTTATTTTGCTTTAATATGCATTTGTTTGTTTGTTCTTCTTATAAAATATATCCTTTATGCAAACATTTATATGTGGTGTGTGTGTGTGTGTGTGTGTGTGTGTATGTGTGTACTTACACACAATATTCTAGTGCAAGAAGCAGGCTCCATTTCAATCCACTGGCTATACACATCATCTGAAAGAGGCTGGCATACCAGCCCTCAGGAGACTGGCCAGTTTCCAGACTTTAAGGCAGAGGAAGGGATGGGCTGTGCCTTAAAAGAATGGCATGTGAGCAAACTGGAATTAGCACATTTAACTGCCTCCCCCCCCATCTGCATCCCCAGTAAGAGGAGAAAAAAGTATTTCTACTCTTGGGGGGGGGGGAGAACAGGCTTGCAAAGACAAACAAAAGTTATTTTATTTGTTAATGTAGCAAAGATCACAAGCTTACATTAGTATTTTCTCTTCTTTTCTGCCTCCTGTACTAAAAATAAAGGATGGATTTGTAGCATACTGGTACTAGTGTGTTGGGTTGGCATCAAAAGTTGATGTCTATGGATAGCTGCCAAACCCCTTTCATCATTACCATCATGGAAGAATTAGTCAATTTTAGTTTCTCCTATTTCCAGTCTTAAAGTGAAATTCTCCGCACCACTGCAGCAATCTGCAAATTTCCTTTTCAAAAACCTTCTAGAAATTCACCATCATTTAGTGTGAATTTCTCCTGGTAAACATGCAGTTTTGACTAATATACACATTTCTGACAGGCGATGGAATAATAAAATGCAATTTTGTGTGTTATCTTCAATAATGCTTGCATTTTTATGTCCTCATGGATGCAAATATGAAAGTTGCAGGGAACGTATGCAGAAAATGCCCAGTGAAGCTTCATAAGCTAAAGAGAGGTTAACTGTCAAAACTGAAAACACAATGAACCTTCATTCCTCCTATATGCATATAAATGTAAGGCAACTGTCATGCTGCAGTTCACCTGCCTGCCAACAGGTGGCAGGCAGGTGAGCAAGCAAGCTGTGTGGGTAGGAGGAGGCCCAAGTGGGTATTTTAACAGAAAGGGGGACACGCTTCAAAGAGTGATATGGCAAACTGCTCTCTGAATCTTGCCCCTCTCCTTTAGAAAGGGGTGGGGTTGCAGCAAGTGGTCGGGGAGGGCTTGGAGTGAGGTATTAGGGGATAGGCAAGGGGTGGGTGATGTGTAAATGGAAGTGAGTTGACAAAAAGCTTGGTGGGCAGGCAGGGTTAGCAATTGGAGTGAGAAGTAATCATAATTAAAATGATTTTGAGTGTTGTCGCTTTTAGCACCTTTGATAGAGCAAACATACATTTGGAACTTTCTAGAGATGGAGCACCTGTTGCGAAGACAGCTAAGTCAGTGATTATCTCCTCACTCCACCATCACCTACTTTTCCAGTTCCAAATGGCCCCCTCCTAAAACAGCTTCTTTTTACGAAAAGAAAAATAGCCAGCAAGGATTGGCTGCGCACGTCACACAATGTTTACAGAGGCCCTCCCAGGCCAGCTGCAGCTATTCAAATGACACCATTCCAGAAACTGACATGAAGAACAACGGACATGGCAGGGCGTTCCCACTTTGGGTGGGGAGATGAGCCATGCCAAAATAGGTGTCTGGGTTTCTTAATTTGAGAAAGGGCTTGCCAAGAAAATATGAATCATCTCTGCACACTCCGTTTACTAAACACGCAAACACCTGGGTTTAGGTCTGAAAAAGAGAAAGAGGGAAGCCAGGATCCAACAAAGTCAGAAATGGTAACATGGTGGAAACATGAAGAGGTGGTTTTAGAAGAGGTGCAAACCTGAGGCACATACAAGAAAGGGAGCAGAGAAGTTACAATGTGGAGATCAGTGTTCTCTCTCTGTGTGTGTGTTCTCTCTGTGTCTGTGCACCTCTTTTCCTTCTCTCCCATCCTCAAAAGGAGAAGGTCAGTTATGTAGACTGGTGATGTCTCTGCATATTGCAATGCCAGTGTGGTGCCATGGAGAAAGGACCTGGTTTGGTATAAGGCACCTGGCTTCCTTTGTTCATATATGGACAGCGCTATAGCTCAGTGGCAGAGCATCTCTGCATGCAGAAGGTGAAAGATGCAATGCCCAGCATCTCACATTGACCTACTGCAAGTCACTCTGCATGAAGCTGCCCTTGCAGGCAATTTGGAAACTTCGACAGGTTCACAATGCAGCGACCAGGTTACCAGCCGAGGTCTCATTGATGGCTCCTGTTTCAAGAACAGCTGCAAGAGGCATGATCACAGGTCAAGGGCAGATTTCTGTCAGGTGTAAAACAACAGAGGAGGGTGCAAAGCAGAGCTGGGGAAGGGTGAGAGTCCTGAGGGCAAAAAAGAATAGTCTGGGGGCCACGTGCACTTCCCAGGGCCAAAGGTTCCCCAGCTCTGGTTTAAAGTAAGAAAGCATTAAGAATAAATGAGGTATCACCCAGGGATCTGAAGCCCTGGGCTCTATTCCACTATAAACATCAATGAGGTTATTGCATTGCTGAGTGCAAAAATAAGTTTCTCTCACCCCACCCCCCCGGGTCATACCAAGCTGCAACATGATCAAATAAATGGCAGGAACCTCTTTCTTTGTTGTTATGATCCAAGTTTATTCGCCCTTATTTTCACCCCTTCATGGCTATGAATTAGCCGAATATCTACTTTGTCAGTGCTTGCTTGGGATTCAGATGTGCCCTTGGGCAAAATGACACAAAACACTGACCAAAAAGCTACAGACTACAACTCTGCTCAGCTTGCAACTCGCTCTCCCCCCAGTACCCATTCCTGTGTCTAAGTTTACAGCATTCCAGCTAACAGCGGACTTGGGTGGCCGAGTGCCAGTCACGTTTCAGAAGAGGAACAGCACCACCCAAAAACAAGCTAGCAAATATAGAATGATGAGGTGTCTGTTGCGGGGAAAGAAATGAAAATGGGAGGTGGCATGGGAATGGGAACTGGTCTCCACAAGCCCCTGATGGTGTACAGTAAACATCTGCGGAGGGGAAAGATTTGAGGAGGATTTTTTGGGAGGGGGCAGGAGTTCTGCCCTGCACCATACAGCGATGCATTTTCCTGCAGTATATATATCAGAGACACCCCACACCCTTCAACATATTATTGCTGCCTGTAAAAGCAACAGTTTTCTCTGCCCAATTTAGACACTTTTAAAAATACACAGTTTTGGTCCTAGACACAGCTTACACAAGCAAAGTGTATCCATGCTCCCAAAATGATAAACAATGCATTTCTAAAACACACCAGCCATTCTCATTATTTAAACAAAAGCACCTAAAGGAAAACTTTGCAAATCATAGACAACAAAGCCAAAATGAGCACCTTGAGTAAAGCCAGATGTAAGTGTACAACCTCCCCTACCTTGCCTATCTCCCCGGCAAGCCTAAAACGTAGCGATGGCACGAGAGAGTCAGCCTGCCTCGTTTCCAGAAAGGAACAGAGTCCAGTTATGTAACTAAAAAGTAGCGCTTGCAGCCTGAAGCTGGGAATGAGTGCCGGATTCTCCTCCCTGCCCCCTGGGCTGCTTTCAAGAGTACATGGTCAACTGCAGCCAGTCCTGGATGTTCATCTGGACTTTGCCATCGCCAGCCCTGTCCAGGGACTTGAAGGCTCGGAACATGCCATCCAGGCGCACCAGGCAGCTGATGAAGTTGTTGAAATCCATGCTGCCATCTTCATCGGCGTACCGGCGGATGATCAGCGCGTAGATCTGCTCATGCAAGTGGAAGCCAGCGGCCTTGAAGGCATCAGGCAGCCGGGCCATTTCAATGGTACCTGCCGGGCCCATGTGCTGCTTGAAGACGCACTGCCACTTCTTGATATTGTTCCACAGGTATCTGAACTGGTAGAAGTCCAGCTTGCCCGTGGTGTCGCTGTCCATGACGGACACCATGCTTCGGCAGGTGTCCAGGCTGAAGCCTCCACCTTTCAGGTCCTGGTGCCTGGCCATCACCTTGTTGAGGATTTCCATCAGCTCCGTGGGGCACACCTCCATGTCGTCGCCAGCCAGCTGGGCAAAGAGGCGGCGGAACTGGCGCATCTCCTCGCTCTCGTTGGCTTCCACATTTGCAAAATGGCTGCGGGGGGTCGGTGGCGGCTCGGGAGTGTACTGAGCTGCCGCTTCGCTGATGAGGTTGACTATCCCTCCGACGATCCCCACAATGTTCCCCGCTTTGCTTCCGCCACTTCCTCCTCCTCCTCCTCCTGCCAAGAGCCCCCCAAGGCCTCTCACCAGGGCTCCCCCAGCACCGCCTCCACCTCCGAGGCCTTTCATGAGGGCTCCGCCAGCACCGCCGCCACCTCCTCCTGCAATGCTTCTCAGAAGGGCTCCTCCAGCACCACCACCTCCTCCTCCTCCTCCTGCAATGCTTCTCAGAAGGGCTCCTCCAGCGCCACCACCGCCACCGCCACCACCGCCACCGGTAGCGGTGTCCAACAAAGCCTGAACGAGGAACATGGCGAAGATTTGGAGAGACCCAAGCACCTTCCAAAAAGCTCCAAGGGTGTCTGAGGAGAGCACAGTTGGGTGTGCACTACAAGAGCAACTGATCTGTCAAAGCAATTACCGCCTGCCATGCCCATACATGTCGTCTTTCACAGCTGGAATCCACGGGCGTTGCAGGACTCCGCCCTCTGCTGCACACGAACAAAGGCAGCTGCTTCTCGCTGTGCATTGGGAGTTGCAAACCCTTTCCCTAGAGACACCAGACTCTTTTTAACCTCATTCCCCGTTCCTCCTTCCTTGCACTGATTCTATGCTGTCCCCCTGCTCGCCCAGCAATGCATCATCTCTCCTCCTTATGGTAAATTTGGATTCTTTTTATTAAAAAAGAAGAAGACTGCATGAGGATTGAATTACAAGCACAGCTTCTGCAGGAAGGATTATGGGGGGAGTGGGGGAACATGCTTACCCTGTCAAATAGGGCAAACAGCTGTTCGAGAGCATCGGAGACGGGCAGCTTCAGGTAGTTGGCAAACTCCTCGATTCCAATCCTGCCCCCTTTGGAGGTGCTGGCGATCGCAGCAAACTGGTCCAACTGCTCTCTGACGCTGTCCCATTTTAGACTATTGAAAGGGAAGAAAGAGTCCAGAGGCCCCACTTGCCATTAGTAAAGGCCACTGAGAGCTCAAAAAGAAAAGAAAAGTAGCTAAGTAGCCAGCCAGAGCCATTCCATGCTCCATTCCATTCCCCCTTCACCTTATGGTTCTGTCTCCCCCTTCCTATAGTCAGCCAGCATCCCATGGCCACTAAACACACTCAATCCTGCTTGAGCTATTTTGGATTATCCCCCTGCCCCATTATTTCCCTTGTACATCTGCAAACCCTGGAGTTCTTTATTGTGCATGGATGGATTAGCTATCCAAGGAGCCACATTCAAGTTTGCTATCCATATGCAGCAGGGACAGGGAGACCTGTGGCCTTCCAGATGTAGGATACAAGCAGAGCATCTTTCAAGTCAAGCGTCCAACAGCCCACAAATCCGAATCAAGCAAAAGCAAAGCACTTACTTCAGTTTCTTGCTGATTTTGGTGAATTCCACCAATCCTGCCTCCATGGGCAAGGTCAGCTGTCCGGCCGAGATCATCAGGCGGCAGTCTTCGTACGTGTGGTCTGTAGTGGCCACATCCAAAGCCCTGAAATTAAACATATGTATGACACTACTTTAGAAGGTAAGCTCATCTTCTTGTTCTAGGCAAAGTAAAAGCACTGACTGTATAAACTAGTGCTATGCTGAAAGATTTCACCATATTTTGGTTGGTTGTTTGCCATCAGTTAATGAGAAACAAAACTGCACTGAGAAATCATCAAAGAGAGTGAAAAGTTTGGTGACCTTCTCTTGAGTGTGATGCAGGGCCTTTGATGTGCTCATGTTTCCTTTCAAGGTGGCTGAGGAATGTTTGATACACCATACATTTAAAGCACCGTACCATGTAAAACAGTTGTGGCTTCCCCCAAGAATTCTGGGAGCTGTAGTTTGTTAAGGGTGCTGACAGTTAGGAGACCTCTCTGTGAGTTACCCAGAGAGAAGGGATTTGGCTTAGGAAGAGTCCTGAGGGTTGGATAGAGAGGGTTGAAGAGTCTGAGGTTCTCCACCAATTATGTAGCGGCACTCACACAGGCTGGAAGGATTCAAGCCTGATATATTTTACACCAGTCACCTGCCGCCTTAAGGTAACCTTGCAAAAGGATTCCCACATCACCTTGCCATTTTGTTACGGACTCCACAGGCAAAAAGGAATGGATCCTTCTTTTCTTCCTCAGATGGAATGTAGACTGGAAGAAACTGAAATAATAATAAAAATGCAGTTACACAAGCCAGTAGAGTCTTAATAACCTGGGTAGGTTATATTTCAGGACTACTAAAATAAATGGATTTGATTTTGAATCCATTTATTTCAACAGGTCTAAGGTATGTCAATTGTTGGCTATCACCTGTATATCTATTTATGTATGCATACATCAAATCCATCAATGGGTCTATATCATACCAATTTAAGCAGTCATAGCTTCCCCTGAAGCATCCTGGGAGCTGTAGTTTGCTAATCCTCACAGAGCTATGATTCCCAGAGTGGTATAACAATCAACAGCTCCCCCCCTCCAGGAGCTCTGGGAATTGTAGCTCTGGGGTCCCCTAGCAACTCTGAACACTCTTAACAAACCACACCTCCTAGGATTCTTTTGGGGAAGCCTGTTTCAGGTGGTATGGTGCTGCTTCAAAAGTATAGTGCAGATTGGGCCTCTGTGTGTATGCATCCATGCAATATACAAACTTGCTGAAATCTGCTGGGGAAGATAAGCAGGTCTGCCAGTAGATGGCAGCACATACATATATATTAAAAAAGCAAAATGCTCAAAGGCAAAAATTGGCTGCACTAAAAACCTCTGTAACCAGTGCTTCTCCCACTAAAAAAATGTTTAGGGGTACTCTCATTTTCCTACTCATATTGAAATACTGCCCCTCAATGAGGCCAAACTTAGATTCACAAAATGTTTAGGGGTATGCGTACCCCCAGAAAAAAGCACTGTCTGTAACTATACATAACTCTTTAAATTGTTGCATTTCTTCTTTTTTGCGACTGCACACATACAAAGAATGGGATGGCTTCTTCAACACAGTCGTGGCACAAGCCGTTTTAGGAAGTTAGCATTGATTTCAATGTGTGGGCTGGGAGCAGGGTTAGGCTTCCCCTTTCCCCATACAGCTATGCTGGACATGGGGATATCAGGAGTGAGGGCTTGGGGCAGAGGATGTGCAACAGTGAGGGCAGGCTAGCTGGCAAGGTGCTGACCCCAGCGTGTGTCCATGTCAAGACATGATCTACTATTTGAAGGTGGCTGCATAGTCTCTCTTATCAATAAGCAAGCCCTGGATTCACAAAATGGATATACGTTTTCTTCCTATATACATAAAAAGGTAAGGCTGTCGTTGCGCAGCTCGCAATGGAAGATTTTTAGTGCGTCATCAGAATTCTGATTTGCATGAAGCCACAGTAGAGGATCACAAGAACAAAAGAGGAGGCTGGTTTTAAAATGGTGGTTTTGAACAACAGCAGAGGGTTGAATAAAGCAGGGGTGAAGGGGAACAGCAGAGCTGTGAGGCTATAGGGGGAGCTTGAAGAAGCAGTGGGGATGTGAGGGGGTTGGGTTAGGTATAAAGGGAGGGAGTTATGTCTTGGGAGGAAGTGGGCTTTTGATGCAGGGGTTGGTGAGCAATGCAAGTAGGGATGGTGGCCCCAAGCACTACAATAAAAATGGTAAAAAAAAGGAATACAGTTTGCTCCTTTTTCTGCAAAAGGGAAGGAGGAAGGGGGGATACTGAAGTTTTAATCGATTTCAGCATTTCTCACAACTTAACATGCTAAGCATCAACTTTTAATTTTATTCATATTTTTCAGTGTTACATTTTTCAAAATCATATTCACATTAAAATAAGCATTTCCCCATCCATATCTTTCTATAAAATAAGCCAATCATTTACAACTTCCCTTCTTCCCCATTCCTGGTTCCTTTAATTTTATCACCTGATCAATGTATCCTTCTCACACCAAATATTTCAAATTATTTTGGCAATGGCCAAGGGTTAAACAACAACACATGCTTTTTAAAAAGAAGAAGAACATGATAGATTATTTAAAGCACAGGATTGGGGAGAGGGGCAAACCCTCTAGGTCCAATTTAGCAGGGAAGAAGAGAAAGGAATCTTTTCTATCATTGCTCAATGTTAGTTCTCAAACATTTGCAAACTAATTGCTTGCAAACTAATCAACACGTTCAGGTTTAAAATAGCAGCATTTCTCTGGTTCTCACCTCCACTTCAACTTTTGTAAACAGCTGGCACAAAGTCAAGACTAATGCCTCCTTGCTGGAAAAGAATTAAATAAAACAAAGGTTGCAAACCATTTTCAAATCAATCCATTTAAATGTGACATTTAAACAGCTACGTTTTCAAATGGACATCACAAATAAAGCAGATCTAAAAAAAATTAGAAGGCGCTTTTAATTATAATGACAATTAGGCTTTGCAATGAAGTGTTTCACATCCTTGCTAGTACTCCTTGCTACAGCCTTGAGATGATAGGCTATTTAATACATTTTAACAATTTATGCAATTTATGCAAGGCCTTTCCAGAGTGGCTGACCATCTAGACCAGGGGTCTGCAACCTTTAAGACAAAAAGAGCCACTTGGACCCGTTTCCGAAGAAAAAACAACAACTGGGAGCCGCAAAACCATTGCGACATTTAAAACAAATATATCTCTGGAGCCGCGATCTGACAGCGGGCGGGAAGGTGACGTCGGGACGGTGCGTGACTAACGCACGCACCGCTCCCATGCGACGTCACAGCCAGTACAGCGCCCGCCACAGTGAGGAGTGTCGGGGCGCACAATGCGCCTCCTCCCCTCGCTAGTATCCGCCCCGGAGCCACGGCAAAGATGTAAAAGAGCCACATGCGTCTCCGGAGCCGCGGGTTGCAGACCCCTGATCTAGACGCTGTAAGCAAAACAGCATTATTATGGATGAAGCTGAAAGGAAAGGGGCTTGTTTAAGACCCCAGCCCCCATGGGTTCAAGTTATAGGTAAGGTTCTCACAGTGGCCAACCAGATGCCTGAGGGAAACCTGCAAGCCGGACAGCAGCATCTCTCCCCTGAGATTTCCAGCAACTGGTATTTGGAAGCATAGTGCCTCCAATCATGCAGTCAGAGTGTAGCCACCACAGGTAGTAACCATTGTTAGCTGTATCCAGGCTACAACCCATCAACAGTCCTGCTTGCAACCTCATTGAGTGCTTTTGCCTGTCCTTGAACTTGGATAATGTTTCTGGCTTACCTGGATGGAGGACAGGGAGGGAGGACAGGAAGGGATGAGTGACTGAGGTAATGTTCTTTAGGGAAGTTTTTAATGTTTAATGCTGTATTGTTTTTAATATTCAGTTGGAAGCCGTCCAGAGTGGCTGGGGAAACCCAGCCAGATGGGCGGGGTATAAATAATAAATTATTATTATTATTATTATTATTGTGTTGCTCCACCAACTTTCGCTTCTTGCCTTGCTCACTACCAGCATGTGCCCCACCGCTGCCCCATTAGTATACAATTGCTGCGATATAAACCTTCTGAACCTTCTGAACATGGCACCCATAAAGTTCTGTATATGCACATACAAAGATGCTGCAACTACTATTGTCAACAGCCGCCGGCGATAAGAACGTTTGTCATTAGGGTGGTGACACTTACAAATTGTAGCCCTGCCAAGTCCACGTCACGGTATCCTAGAGGCAAGCAAATAAAATAAATGAATAGTTATAAACAGCTCGTTGGACGAATGGAAAGCAAAGCCCAGCCGAGGCCAGGACGTGGGCGTGATTCGCTAGCAAGTCTTTAGCAGGAAACCTGTGTTTTTCCGGAGGCTGTGGAACACCTGGAGGGCCACAACCTCCCCCCCCACCTTATCAGAGGGAAGAGAGGAGAAGACACAGGACTCACTCCGACAGCTCCATCAGGCCTCCTCTCCCTCAACAGTCACATGGGGACAGGAATATCACTAGGCTGCCTCAGTGGGAGAGGTGGTCAGCAGGACTCACTCACTCCATCAGCTTTGCCACAAGCCCACCTTCATCAGGCACCTCCTGCCCCTGAACTATGCCAACTGGTCATTATAAGAACAACTATTTAAGAACTGGTGCCAGAAGTTGACCTCCCCATCCACCATCCCCTCCCCATGCCTTTCTCCTTCTACAGTATGTGGTGTTTTTTCTAGGTTCTAGGTTCTAAGCCTGTGGGCTGTCTTGTTTTAACTGTTTGTATATAAGTCAGTCTGGGAGCCCTTTTGGCTGAAGAGTAGGGGGTACAAAGGCTCTAAATAAACAAACAGCAAGAGCAGAAACTGGTTTGTGGCTCCTGACAAGGGATGGGGGAGAAAATTTGATTCTGTTTGCACCTAAAGCAAAATTTATCACATTTGCACTGTCCAAAACAACAGAAGGACCAAAATGCAGGCATCTTTCAAAATTCGCACTCATCTGAATTTTGTGACACCTGTCAATGTTTGCAAGAATGCATGTGTTGGAGGGGAAATGTGTGCACTAAAATGTGTTAGTGAAAATGACATTCAAAAAAGGTGTTAAGTTAAGAGAAATTGCTGGTGAAATGTGTACATTCATCAGAACCACATTATAAAAGTGTGTTCACGCGGAGAAATTCACACTATCACTTTGAAGAATTTTCATGCAGATTATTTGTTTTTATAGAAAACATAAATTGGTGCAGAAATGTAGAAAACCTATGGTACTTCAAGATTGGAAAAATGAGAAGCCGAGAGGGCTGGATCTGGCACATCCTCCCATCCCTACTGTGAGCTAACAGACAAGGTACAGAGCGCCAGACCCAAAATTTCCAAACCATAACATATAGTATGACTGGTGAGACTCTGGCCCAGCGAGGCAAATGCAGCCCCCTGAGTCTCTCCATCCGGCTCCTGCTTTGAACCCTCCTTGAATCTTTCTGTGGGGTTGGAATGTGTCCTTGAACTCTGAAAAATCTGTTCACCTGCCTGCCTGAACAATGGGGGGGCGGTTACCATTCACACCCACTGCTCTGCTCCCTTTTGTCTCTGACCCTGCAGAAAGAACACAGCCCCCAGGCTGAAAAAGGTTCCTCAGACCTAACACGATATGAGGCAAGACCGCACAGGCCTGTCATGTTCCTTCACAGGAGCAAATAACTGTTGTTTACTTAGATGTGGCAATGCCAAGAGGTTTAACTTGCAGAAACCACTGGTGGAAAAGCTTAACCAGTTTCCTGCCCTTGGTGACGGTGGTGTCTGTGGTGAGTGGATGACAGAGTGTGCTCTCAGCAGTATTTCAGGTGGAGTTTTCTTAGTCAGCAGGCAGCAAGACAGAATACATAGAGGGAGCCTATCGTGGGATAGTTCGCGCACCCAAATGGTGGTCTGCATGTGTGAATGGGCCATCGCAGACTCAGAACCACAGGCTGAACATTCAGATCACCTCAGGCAAACAATGCTTTTAGGGGCCTTGTCTACACTATACATTTAAAGCAGTATCATACCATCTGCCAAAGAATCATGGGAAGTGCAGTTTGTTAAGGGTGCAGAGAGTTGTTATCCCCCTCACAGAGCTGTAATTTCCAGAGTGGCTTAACAATCGCTCTTCACAGGGGACTCTGGGAATTGTAGTTCTGTGAGGGGAAAAGGGGGTCTCCTAATCACACTCAGCACTCTTTACATACACTTTCTGGAGGTTTTTTTGGGGGAAACCACGACTATTAAAAGCAGAACAAAGCAGAACTTTAAACGTACGTATAGTGCAGATGTGGCCATAGTTTGTATCAGGGAAATGGATCATTCTAGAGGGATTGCAACAAGTCAAGACATTTGATTTCTTAAAGGGGTGAGGAATCTTTTTTTCAGTCCAAGGGCCATATTTTCATTCTGGCAACTTTCTGAGGGCCACATGCCAGTAGTGGGTAGGTGGGCCACAAGCAAAGCAAAATGTGTTAATATGCTATTTTCTATTCTCTATCCAGGCTAGCAAGGGGCATTATCAGAGTTCAAGGACTCAATCCAGCCAGGTAGAAACACTCAAGCGGGATGTAAAGCATGGGCAATGAGGGGTGTGGCCTGTGAAGACTTCTTTGGGCCAGATCATGAGTTCAGGGGAGCCACATCTGGCCCCCAGGTCTGAGGTTCCCTACCCAACTTATTCTATCAATAAAATAACTGGGAGGGAACTTACCAATTTATTTGGGTACCGAAGGAGCACTGGTTGAACAGGAACGCCAGGAATAAAGGCCCCTGGAAATGGAAACCAGACAAAAAAAAATCACCATGGGGAGAAATTACGTGGACTATAGTTTGTGCCTAGAGAACAAATCATACTCAGGATTAAAAATCAATGGACACCACCAAGAACCATTCAGTTTAACATGTTGAGTTATGGGCTTTCCATGTTCACTCAGACGCCCAAATCCCAGGAAATCACAGCTGTTAGGGGCCACATTCTTAACAGACTTGTTATTGAGATCCACATGTTGGTGGATCTACTACTGGACCAGTTTACTGATGTAAGGTAGATCACAACTAAAGCGCTATCACCAAATATGTGGTCAAAAATGAATTGAGTCTCCTAAAGTATGTCATGCTTAAAAGGTACATCCCAGGTTGAAGAATGAAGACCACCAACCCAGGCAAATTTGATAGTATGGGATCCTGTCCCAGGGCCAGTTTCAGTTTCACCACTACCTTGGATCTGGGTGGCTGTCAGCAGGAGAGTAGAGGGATTCAATGTTCACTGGAATAGACAGCTGAAGTCTGCGGAACTGAAGCCTGGGCTTTAAAGTAGGAGTCAGGAACTGTTGGTCATCCAGATGTTGCTGAACTCCCAGCACCTCTGGCTATTAGGCCAAGTTTTCTGGGGCTGATGGGAAGTGCAGATTGGCAACATCTGGGGAACCAAAGGTTCCCCATTCCTATTTTAAAGATTGCAATGGGGGGAATGAAATTCATCAGATAAAGCATACATAGCTATACAGTTGCCACCTAAATCCCCTTTCTGTTTTGTTCTAAAGGCCCTGTAACAACAGAGTGCAGATCGGTTCCAACTCCCTAGGCAGAAAATCACACCAACTCTTTTGGTTGTCTATTGTCTTTTGGAAGTCTATTGTCTTGGTGAGATCTAGGCTCATTTCTGGACTGTACCGCTTCAGACCACAAGGGGGAAGCTCTCTATATAAAGAAACATTCCTCACATACAGAAGACAGAATGTTGCCTTAAACCAAGTCAGATTACATCTATTCCAGAAACGGGCACATTCCAGTATTGTTATTTAGCTTTCTACAAGAACCCCAAAGGATCTACCAACCAGAGCCAGGTGTAAAAGATATACAATTGGGATTAATGGGGCACATTTGAGCTCAATAATACACACCCCCTCAGTACTAGAACATCACTACCTTGCATAAAAAGTTCACTCCTGGTAAGGAAGGAACTGAACTCATATTCCAAAGCAGACTCTCCTGATTTGATCCAGGCAGATCATGTGTTCACTGCTGCTCCTATTCAGAGTAGACTTGGAATAATTCCATTGATTTCAATAGGTGTACTCTGAGTAGGGCCAGCTAGCGGGTGGTGCTGTGGTCTAAACCACTGAGCCTCTTGAGCTTGCTGATCGGAAGGTCAGCAGCTTGAATCCACACAACGGGGTGAGCTCCTGTTGCTCTGTCTCAGCTTCTCCCAACCTAGCAGTTCAAAAGCACACCGGCGCAAGTAGATAGATACCACTGCAACGGAAAGGTAAACGGTATTTCCATGCACTCTGGCACTCATCAAGGTGTCCTGTGGCACCAGTAGAAGTTTAATCATGCTGGCCACATGACACAGAAAGCTGTCTGTGGACAAATGCCAGCTCCCTCGGCCTGAAAAGAGAGACGAGTGCCTCAACCCCATAGTCGCCTTTGACTGGACTTAACCGTCCAGGGGTCCTTTATCTTTTACCTTTACCTTGCAACCCCAATCTGTAGCCTGGAGGATTGCTTTGCAATGCATTAGAGGGTTATGCACCTCCTCCATTCCTCTGAAAAGGTTCATGCTTTAAATCTCCTTTTCAAAGGTTACACACTCTCCCACCCACCTCTAGCTTTTCAGCAACAATGCATCTGACACAGCCTTCCTCACCTTGTTTAAAAGTGATCAGACATGAACGGTTTGTACATGTACCTTCTGGGAAAATCAATACCTGGGATCAAAAAAAGGAGAAGACATGCATATTCTATTAATTTAAACTGTCCCACAAATTCAGCAATTCTTGTTTAAGATTCATTTGCCAATGGTTCCTTCAGACAGCAATTGGGGGCGGGGAGGTGCACATCTTTCTGAACCTTTCTTTCTTAATCTGTGGGCCCTAAGATATTGTTGGACTCAAAGTCCCATCATCCTTGATCACTGGCCACAATGGCTGGGGCTGATGAGAGATGCCAGATGCTGAGGAGGGCTGTTTGGAACAGTGGCCGGGGAAGACCCTACAATAACAGAACCTGTAGTAACATTCCAGGAATGCTGCCCTGTTTCTTGCAATACACACATTCCAAAATCTGATGGAAGAAAAACAGGAACACCCTTATAACACCCCAGTTCTCAAACCATGGATCACTGTCAGAGCTTTCTGCCTCCACCCTGATCTAATTCCGCCTCTATTGTTCCATTCTACTTTCCATATGCTATATGTGCCACATATTTTAGAAATGTGTTTGTTTGCTATACATTTGGACTTAAGATGCCATAACCAAATGTTGCATGATGGCTCCTGAGATAGCAGAGCAGGTTTTTTTCCTATGTCTGGATATCATGGGGAACCATTTTGAATCAAGATGGCTGACTGAACCTTTCAAACCTGCAGTTGTTGTTGTTTTTTTAATCACTTTATTTGCTTTGGGGGGGGGACCACCAAATATACATACAGTGGTGCCTCGCAAGACGAAATTAATTCGTTCCACGAGTTTTTTCTTCTTGCGAGTTTTTCGTCTTGCGAAGCACGGTTTCCCATAGGAATGCATTGAAAATCAATTAATGCGTTCCTAGGGAAACCGCCTTCAGACCAGGTCCGGGGACAGTCTGTCCCCCGACCTCTTCTGAAGGCTGGGTGGGGGGGACAAGGGCTTTTCTTCCCACCGCCAGCCTTCAGTAGGCTGTTCTGAAGGCTGGCAGTAGGAAGAAAAGCCCTTCTCCCCCCACCGGACTTCAAAAGAGCTGCGGGAAGTCCGGAGGGGGTCCAAGGGATTCCCTCACTGCCGCCTGCGTTTAAAAGGACTCTGGGGAAAGCAGCGAAGCGCGCTGCTTTCCCCGAGCGCTTCTAAAGGTGGGCGGCGGTGAGGGAATCCCAAGGACCCCCGCCGGACTTCCCGCAGCTCTTTTGAAGTCCGGCGAGGGTCCAAGGGATTACCCCCCCCCAGCCGCCCGCGTTTAAAAGCACTCCGGGGAAAGCAACAAAGCGCGTCGCGCTTTGCTGCTTTCCCCGGAGTGCTTTTAAAGGTGGGCGGTGGGGAGGGAATCCCTTGGACCCCCCGGACTTCCCGCAGCTCTTTTGAAGTCCGGCGGGGGTCCAAGGGATTCCCCCCCCAGCCGCCCGCGTTTAAAAGCACTCCGGGGAAAGCAACAAAGCACACCGTGCTTTGCTGCTTTCCCCGGAGTGCTTTTAAAGGCGGGGGCTGGGAGGGAATCCCAAGGACCCCCGCCGGACTTCCCGATGCTCGGGGAAAGCAGTGCGCTTCGCTGCTTTCCCCAGAGTGCTTTTAAACGCCGGCGGCGGTGACCATGCCCCGCCCCGTCCCCGCCGCCCGGCATCGGGGCATGGTCCCGATGGCGGGGGCGGGGGGAGGCGTTCCCGTCCGCCGCCCGGCATTGGGGCATCGTTCCGAAGCCCGGCGGCGGCGGGAGGGGCTGTCCCCGCCCCGCCGCCAGCCTTCGGAGGAGGTCCGAGGACAGCGGGGAAGACGCGCTGCGCTTCCCCGCTGTCCCGGAGATTTCCCTATGGGCTGTCGTCTTGCGAAGCAAGCCCATAGGGAAATTCGTTTTGCGAAGCGCCTCCAAAACGGAAAACCCTTTCGTCTAGCGGGTTTTCCGTCTTGCGAGGCGTTCGTCTTGCGAGGTACCACTGTAATCATAAACATGTAAGGAGCATATAGCTAAGAGCATTGATTGAATCTATGTTGTGCTGTAAAATATTTGTGCCTCTTTATTTACAACCAAAATTATTTTTGTTTATTAGTGTCATCTTACACAGTTGTTCCACAAGAGTCCGTATGTGGATGCCGGTTATGTATTTTTGTGCTACTTGTTTAATAAGGTGATAGCATATTGTTTGGAACTTCTTTTCTGTCTTTTTTTGAAATTCTTCCTGTCGTTCACCTTTGGTGTCAGTTTTCCTATCGATGCAATTTTCCAAATTTGCTGGTACCATTCAGACAGCAAGTTGTCTCCTGAAACTTACCAACTTCTACCTATTGTCAAGCATGTCATGGATAGTAAGAATTGTAATGAGCCCTTGTTTGTAATGTTTTGACTTTCTTCATCAAATATAGATAACAATGCCACCCTGGGAACTAAGTCCAGTATCCGATCCATGATAAGTCACATTTCATAATATATTTCTCCCTGTATCTTTTCACAAAATCACCACTTATGAAAATAGGCACCTGATTCTCCTTAAGCTCTCCTGCATAGTGGGCTATTAGTACTTGAGTACAGGGAATCAGGTACCACCTATGAATAATTTTGAATGAGTTACCATTCAAACCACAATACTATGGGTGGTTTAACAGGAAATAGGGGGTCTCCTAATGACTCTCAGCACCCTCAATAAACTACAGTTTCCAGGATTCCTTGGGAGAAGCCATTACTGTTTACATTTGCATGAAACTACTTAAAATGTATAATGCAGATGGGGTTAGGTCAGCTGTTTACCTGGACCCCTACAGGGCAACAGGGCTCTCTCATTTATTCTTACAACATCCTCCATTTATCTCAGATGACTGCTTAGAGCTGGCATCATTCATTTCTCAACATTTGTCACGAAGAGCCTGGAGGAGCAATTTGCACAAAGATGGTTCAGCTTTTCAGCAGCTAAACCATCTTAAAAATCTTACCTGGGGCCATTGCTCCCCTGAAGTTGCTCGACGGGTTATTTCTTTGATAGTGTTCCTCCGAGAATCAGGATCGACACGGGACACCACAACAGGCTGGAGAGCACTGAGGATCCCTGTTTAATAGCAAGAAAGAAGGAAGGAAGGAAGGAAGGAAGGAAGGAAGGAAGGAAGGAAGGAGAAAGAAAGAAAGAAAGAAAGAAAGAAAGAAAGAAAGAAAGAAAGAAAGAAAGATTCCTATCATTTCCAAGGCCCATCCACCCCCCCAAAAAAAATCTAAGAATTATTTATTGAGCCTAAGAACCAGTCAAAATTGGTTTGTTTATTTATTAAGAACATTTCTAGACTACCTCCCATATCATGTGTGGAGGAGATGGTATAACAATATTAAAATACCTAACCAGAACTTTAGAATACAGAGAGGACCTGAGGACAACAGCACTCGCCTCACTTGTGATCCCAGAAACTGGTATTCAGAGGCATACTGCCTCCAACCATAGAGGCAGTGAACAGCTGTCAAAGATAGGAGCCAATGATAGCCTTATCTTCCATAATATTGCCCAATCCTCTTTTAAAGCCATCCAAGTTGGGAGCAAGTTCCATAGTTTAATTTTGTCCTAAACCTCCAACATTCCAGAGTTGGAGTTCTAGAGTTAAGAGGGGGGGGGGAGCTGTCCTCTATCCACTTCCTCTATGCCATCTATATTTTTACAAACTTGAATGATGACATCACTTACTCACATTTTCTCTAAACTAAAAAATCCCAGATGTCACAAGCTTTCCTCACAGAGGAGTTGCTCCATCCCCTTGATCGTTTTGGCTGCTCTTTTCTGAACCTTTTCCAACTTTACAGTATCCTTGCTGAGGTGAGGCAACCAGAACTGTACACAGTACAGTATTCCAAATGTGGTTGCACCATAGATTTGTATACAGTGGTACCTTGGTATAAGAACAGCTCAGTTTATGAACAACTTGGATTAAGAACGCTGCAAACCCAGAAGTAGGTGCTTTGGTTTGTGAGCTTTGCCTTGGAACCAGAACATGTTCCACTTCCTGTTGAGTGTGTTCCATTTGTAAAGTGAGTCCCCCGCCACTATGGGAAAGCATGCCTTGGATTAAGAACGGATTTCCGGAACACATTAAGTTCATAAACCAAGGTACCACTGTAATGGCATTGTGCTGTCTGAAGTTTTATTTTCAATTCCTTTCCTGGAGATCCCTAACATGGGATTCACCTATTTCACAGCTGCCACACACTGGCAGGCAGGCCAGATCCTGAGCTCCCACTCGTGCCATTTTAATAGATGGTTAAGGGCTGCCCTCCTGTCAATCAGATGATGTCACATGACTTTATGTCAAAGGAAAGAATCTGGAGCGCAGTCCTGAGTTTACCAACGCATGGGTGACAAGTTGGCATGTCAAAACCAATGGCCACACTGTATGCAGCTGATGGGAGTTGGGAGTCCAACAACGTCAGGAGGACCAGAGGATTCTACATCTCTTTTCAGAATGCTGCATCATTCTGGATTTTGTTCTGTGATCCAAGAACTCTACCATCTCATTCACCTGTGTGTGTGTCCAAGACCAGACTTAAACTGGGCGAAACCAGCCTACATTCCCTCAAGCCTCATAACAACACTTACTCCCAAGAATGGGCACAGAGAGATTCTCTTGCCTAGACACCGTCGACGGCAAGCCTGCCAGAACACAGACGATCCCGTCGAAGAAGCTCGAGTGCGGTGCTGCAGTAAGGATCGGTGCCTCCTCAGGACTAGCTACTTCCCCCTTCACTTTGACTTGGAAGCCCATCACAAAAAATAAGGCACGGCCTAAGATCGTGAGGCTGGCATAGCACACTCTCCTAAGGGAAAAAAGAAAGAAAATTGGGAACCTCATTACTTCACTCATCACCAAGATCACTACCCCTAACCCTGGAGAGAAACTGGAGAACCAGACAGAGAAGCTTGGAAGGCCACAAGTGGCTCCCCGGGTCTGCAGCTCCTAACACATGCTTTGTGTTGTTATGTACACTGAGAGCACCATATAAACAAATATATATGACATTTTTTAAATTCATAGCCTGAATTAAGAACATTAGAATAGGTTGCTGGATCAGGTCAATGGCCCATCTAAGCCAGCATCCTGTTCTCACAGTGGCCAACTAGATGCATCATCTGGGAAACCCACAAGCAGGACTTGAGCACAAGAGCACTCTGCTCTCCTGTGGATTCCAGCTACTGGCATTCAGAAGCATTTACTTCTGAAGGAAGAGGCAGAGGCAGAGCAGAGCCGTCATGGCTAGTCGTCACTGATAGCCTTGTCATCCATGAATTTGTCTACCCCTCTTTGAAAGCCACTGAAGTTGGTGGCGATCATTGCTTCCTGTGGGAGTGGGCTCCATAGCTTATCTGTTCACTGTGTGAACAGTCCTTTATTTTATCTGTCCCAAATCTTTCAACATACATAATATTGTTGCAACCCCCTCTCAGGTACATCAGTGTTATTATTATTTTATTATGAGGACAATTACATTGGTGACTATTACCACCATCATTCACCTTACATAGACGTAGGCAGCAATCCCATACACAAAATTGGATGAAAAACTGGTAATATTCAGAAATGCACATGCCCCACAAAAATGGCTGCACACTTTCAAAAACAAATAAAACATATTAAAACCCCCATCAAAAGAGGCACGCCAAAAAGCCTTTCTTGTTATTTTTAACTGGGAAGGACACAGGACCTCGTTGTGTGCCAAGGGGCAGATCTGATGGTGCCATAGGAATATGCTACAAAGTTAAGGTTCTTGCAAATCCCAGTGCTCCAAAAAGACAAGGACATTCTAAGCGATGGTTCTCCCACATTACAGAGGCAGTAAAAATACTGGGCTGCCTTGCAAAATGTGCTGGCCTACACAACGCAATCCTCAGTTCAATGTAAGTTACTTCCCTAGGCAATGTTTTTTAGGACTGCAACCTTGGGTGCCATGTAACCACTCTTATTTCCTGGAAGTCCATGGAGAGATGCAGTACCCAAGATTGTGGAGGTTGTTTCATTCCAGGATGAGGACAAAGAGGTCCTTGCAAATAATGTGCAAAGCAGTTACAAGGACAAGTCCTGCTGTATTCAGCAAGCCTTCCCTATTAAGAGGTCCTCAACAGCCATGTTACCTTTGCCATCCCAGAAGTGGCTTAGTCCCCTTCTCAGGGGTGCAGGAAGTTGCCAGGACTGCAAACGGCCAAGCCACCAGCAAAATGAAGAACATGCATAGGACACGGAGAGGAACCAGAATCAGCCCGAACAAGAAAGCCTGGAAAATAAAGAGACAGAGTTAACCAGTCAGCTAGGCCACAAGTGATGTTTCAATTCACTTGTTTGTTTCCAAAGGACACATGCAAGAGGTACAGCAGTGATCGCATCTACCAACTCAGTAACAAACCTAGCTGAGCTAGCATGGTATAATGGCTTAAGCCATCAGACTATGACCTGGGAGATCAGGATTTAAATCCCCGATCAGCCATGAAGCTCACTGGATGATCCTGGGCCATTCACATTATCTGTCTCAACCTGACTTGAACGAGGACCAGATCCCTTGAAATGGGCCTGATTTCTCACAGGTGGCCTTGTTTCATCATGCATTTTAATTATGCATGCCTATCCCCCCCCCCCCCCCGTAATTGGGTTTATACCTGTAAATGGCTTAGAAGATTCTTTGGCAACTAAGAAGTATATAAATCAATAACACAATAATCTCAAAATGCTGTGGTTTCCAATAGAGGCTGCCTAGTCATCAAAGGCCAAGTAACCCAGTAACATACAGACATACAGGGAATGTAGCGGGCAAAAGTCCCAAGCAATTGTGTCCTAGTTTATTTAGGCATTGCAGAAGATTGCTTGGGGACAGTTCAATGGTAGAGCATGCGGTTTTCATGCAGAAGGTCCCAGGTTCAATCCCTGGCATCTCCAAGTCGGACTGGGAAAGACTTCTGTCTGAAATCCTGGACAGCTGCTGCCAGCCAGTGTTGGCAGTACTGAGCTAGATGCTCTGCCTGGGTTGCTATAAGGCACCCTTAGAATTCTCAGTTAGTCTTTTGGTTCACGTCCCAGGCAGAGATGTCTCTGGAAATAACTTGCTGGTTACCTAATAATTGACCATTTGCCAAAATACACAGAAAGCAACTTCCTGATTAGCATTATTTGACTAAGTATTGGCTCTAACATGGAACGGGATTGTTGTTTTTTCCTTTTGGGTTTAAAGAAAGTGATAACTCAAAGCAAATTTAATGTAAATATTTGAAGACAAACTGACAAAGCATTATGCATTGTTGTATACTTGGATTTCTGGTCCCAGATGGCACACACAAACTGAAGTACAGTGGTACCTTGGGTTACATATGCTTCAGGTTACATACACTTCAGGTTACAGACTCTGCTAACCCAGAAATAGTACCTCGGGTTAAGAACTTTGCTTCAGGATGAGAACAGAAATCGTGCTCTGGCGGCATGACAGCAGAGGGAGGCCCCATTAGCTAAAGTGGTGCCTCAGGTTAAGAACAGTTTCAGGTTAAGAACGGACCTCCAGAACAAATTAAGTTCTTAACCCAAGGGACCACTGTAGGGTTCAAGAGCACTGACATATGTAAACTGGTGTGAAACACCCCTCCCCAAAAGGAGGTTCTGTGATGCACAGGTGTTTCATTGGCAGACTGATTCATGGTGCATGAGGCTGGACAGCTCAGTCTAGTAGAGCATGAGACTCTTAATCCCAGGGTCATGCGTTTGAGCTCCACATTGGGTGAAAGACCCCGGTGGATCCTTCCAACTCTACAATTCTGTTTCTCCTTGCATGTTGATCTCACCTTTCCTCCAAGGAGCTCAAAGCGGTGTACATCGTTATCCTACCCCAAACTCCATTTGATCCTCGTAACAACCCTGTTAGGTTGAAAGGTGATGACTGCTTCATGGGTCACATAGGGATTTGAACCCTGGTCTCCAAGATTCTAGCCCGGCACTCTAACCACTGCACCACCACCACTGCACGCTTCCACACAAACATTTGTACACGGGTAGAGCTGGTTTGTACCTGTGCTCAGCGTAACATCTGAACAAGCCTCAAGTCATAACCCTTGCCAAACTTCCTATTTCTAACGAGCCAATTTCCCTCTCTCATATTTCGCAGCAACTAGGTCTGCAAGGACAAAGGCAGAATAGGATCAGTTAGAAGCCCAGCAGATCACAATACACCAAAGTTACTTAACTAACTCAGGAACACAGAAAGCAACCTCACACTGAATGAGAAACTTGAAAGACAGAAGCAAATTTTCCTCCAAATTAAAACAAGTGCAAAGGGACAAGTTTGCACAGGGGCAAGACAGGTAAAAGCATTTTCTTTATGCCAAATAAGATAATGGGCCAATTAGTATCCCTGACAAGTGTAACAATTATTATTATTATTAACTTGTGGCTAAACCAGTAGCATTTCGCCTTCAAAGACTGTGTGTCTCATCATCTGATGTTTATAGGAGGAAGAGCAGAATGAAGTTCTGAGGAAGTTGTGAAATTCTCTTCCTGTGAGGTATTCAATACAAGTTTACAGATTCACAGAGAAGCTTTGGATATTTGGTGCAAAAGGCTGGGGCTGATGATCTAATGGATGAAGCCAAAAGAAGGGGGTGGCTGCCCCCTGATTTGAGGTCAGCTTACAGAAAAATAGTCACCATTTCCTATCAGTACAAAACATTTTTAGCGTCTTCTCATGAAGGTCAAGAAAGGTTAGCCATGCAGTTTTGGAACACCAGGTTCATTTCCTGTTTTCGAGTTATTTCATGAGTGTTCTTTGAGGAGGTATGGGTGGCCCATGCCGACCTCCACTGTCAGAGGCAGCAATGCTTCTGAACACCAGGTGCTGGAGAGGGCTCTTGTGCTCTGCTCCGTTCTTGAGGGCTTCCCACAGGCATCTGGTTGGCCACTGTGAGAACAGGATGCTGGCCTAGATGAGCCACTGGCCTGACCCAGCAGACCTCTTCTTATGTTCAAAAACAATGGCATCCTAAGGTTGTGTCTGATGTAAAAAATGTCATGCACATCAGGGGTGGAGAACCTGTGGCCCACCAGATTGTGATGGGCTCCAAACCCCCTCAGCCCCAGCCAGCATGGTCAGGGATGGTGTGATCTGGGAGTCCCCCAGCACTTAGAAGGCCACAGACTCCCTCCCCCAGTTCCTTGATGTGAATTCACACCCTGGATGTGCATGATGATGCTTGGGCCTCCCTGACTGAGGAGGAGAATCAGCATTCTCTGGCTGCATTCACACGGCAGCTCACTCCGTCTTCCCCACTTTCCCCTAACTGTTAATTTCCGCATTATATTTGAGCTTTCACACAAAGAAAAAGCCACTTTCAGAAATATAGTGGAATATAGAGCAGGTTTAGCCCTCATTTCCGTATTATTTGCAAATGGATTTATTCTGGAAGCCGGTAACACTGAAATGAATGCTGAAAGTGTGCTATATTCCACTATATTTCCTGAAGTGGCTTTTATGTAGTATGAAAGCTGAACTACTATCATGTGGAAATTAACAGTCAGGGGGACATCAGGAATACAGAATAAACTGCAATGCAACTTCAGATTACCTCCATGACAAAACAGACGACTGAAATTGTGGAATCCACAAGACCTCCATTCTGTAAAATGGGACTTTAAAACATGCACACATGAGATTCAATGCCCAAAATAAGAACAACAACCTAAGAAGAGCCCTGCTGGGTCAAGCCAGAAGCCCATCAAATCCAGCACCCTGTTCTCACAGTGCCAACCAGATGCCACTGGAAAGCGTGCGCCCAAGTGCAACAGCCTTCTCCACACTTGTGATTCCCAGCAAACGGGTGGCACAGAACAAGCCACATGTGTGAAGCCACAAATGCGGATCACTTCTACCATTCATCACACTCAAGCTTGGAGAAATGGCATATTCAGGCCCTTATCAATTCTAGCAGAATGTGAGCTGTATTTATTAATGAAGCTGCCCAGGCCCAAAGAGTCTGCCAATTTCAACACACTACAGAGAAGGACTTGACTGTCTTCATGGAGAAGATTTATATATCCCTGCAAAAAGGACCCGTGCATGAAGAAGGCTTTCCTCACATGGAGTGGCCTCTCTTCAGACCCCTGAAGGCAACTTTGCTGAAATCTGCTTAAAAATGGAGCAATTAGCTTCCTTTTGCTGTTAAAAAAATTTAAACAAATCAAAAATTATGGTTTTGGTCTCTCAAGCAAGTTTTTTTCTTTTTCTTTTTAAAAGGCTCTAGCAAACATTTTTACAGAGCTTTTAAAGGAATTGCTTTACTCTAAATATGGTACTGATCATGAAGAGAATTACAGTCCTTGCAGGCTTTTGGAGCAACAAGTAATGCAACACTGTCTGAGAGCATTAATGAACGTTTACAACACTTCCTCAGAATGTCAGGCTATACCTGCTCTTTGAGGAAACATGCTGGTCCTGCAGCCATATGAAAAACCTGTGATCTTTGGCGGTAAATAGGTAAAAAACATTTTACCTTGAAACAGTATCAGGGAGTATGACCTCTGTAACCAACAGCTATCACCAGCTGCAGCAACAATGGCTCCATTTCCATACACAGAGCAGGGGGAAGAACAACCTTCCCTGTGTATAGGAAAAACTTAGCATTCTGCATTGAAGAGGTGGGGAACCTTTTTCAACCCATGAAGCATTCTGGGGGCTGAAGACCAGTGGTGGGCGGGACCAGAGGCAACAGTGGGTGGAACAATTGACACTTTTAAAATATTTGTACAAGAAGCTCTGTTTTAGCCACAGGAAAGTCAGAGGTTTACACCTTTCCATCTTCCATCCTGGCAGGGAATAGGCACTATCGCCTTCAAGGACACATACTAGCCAGCCAAAAACTCTCAATGAGGGGGCACAGCAGGCTGGTGAGGGGTGTGCCTTGGGCAGAGTCCCAAGGTCCACCTCTGATATATTAGGAGAGTACTCAAAATATAAACACCCTCAATCTGCATTTTGGAAGTGGTTTGGTCCTGAAGGGACTGTCCCACATGCCTTCTTGAACATTCAAATCTGCTGAATGTTCATAATGCCACCTGCTGCTGCACTCAATTCATTTGCCCTGAGAACATCCCTTCTGCTGGTCATGGTGAAAAAGTAGAAGATCTGTGGGGTGGAAGCAGGGCAGAGAACAGGCTCTGGTCTGGTTTGATAGCCTGGGTTTGAAAATGTGCAGTCTCCCTCTTTGCCACCAAGGCAGATATGCTCTGGGTACTTCCCCATAGCAGCTTATTGTGGAGTCTCAATGTCACATCATCCTTACCAAACTGTCACCCCATATTATGTTTCCATTTAATCTGGATAGATTAAAAAACACACCAAAACCCTGCAGAAACAGTAAATCTGGATTAAACTGGTTAAAAATACATTGAAATCACTTAAACGCATTAAGAGCATCTAAAAAACAGTCAGATGCCCTGGAAGATAGCAATTTCAGGAAGCAGGAAAGAAGTATCTCCCAGTCATCAGATACTGGGCATGTGGAAGGGCCTCCAAGGTGACTGGAAGGGAAGTGGTTTATCTTAGCTTTGAAATTACAAGATAGAAGAGAAGCACTACACTTCTCAACGAAACAGAAGGTGGGTCCGGAGTGGAGAAGTTTCACAGGGCTGGCTGGGAGTCAGCCCTCTTTTCCGGCCGCATAAAGGAAACACACAAAGTTTCATAAGCTTCCTCTTTGCTCGTCTAGTTCTGTTGGCTGGGTTTGCATGCCCTGTGCCCCCACTACTCAGTTTAGACTGCAATGCAACACATACATAGGATCATAAAATTGTAGAGCTGGAAGGAACACGATGGGGCATCCATTCCAACTGCCAGCAATGCAGGAATCACAGCTAAAGAATGCCTGACAGGTGAAGTCCCACTGAAGTCAGTGGCACTTACTTCCATGTAGACCTGTAAAGCACTGATCTGCTCAGACATGCTGCAGAAAACATTCCATGGGCATGATTTAGGTGCTCTGGATCAACCTGTCATCTTCCTAGGATTAAAATGACCTCAGAAAATGTTGGCAGGGTGCCTTTCTTCAGGGTGCAGTTCAGAGGTCCACGGCAAACTAGCAACATGGGAACAACCTTAGAAAGCCACTAAGGCAGAGGTGGAGACTCTGTGACACTGTGTGTGTGTGTGTGTGTGTCCCCATAATTTTAGGCAGGGTTATTCCCTACCCCACTTAAAGAATTTGGCAAAAGAACACAGGACTTCCTGTATGCAGAGTTTGTGGTCATCCACTATGCTACAATGCTAAAAACAACACAGGTTACATCCAGATGGCCTTCTTGCTGAGCGTTCCACACAATTTGCTTGTGCAAAGTTTGCAGTAAGGTTACACGTGACATCAGATGTTAAAAAGATAAGAAGAGCCTGCTGGATCAGGCCAATGGCCCATTTAGTCCAGCATCCAGTTTTAACAGTGGCCAGCCAGATGCCTGTGGGCAGGGCTTTTTTCCTTCTGGAACTGAGTCCCTGCACCTCTTTGTTGTGTTGTGGAGCCAGAGTACAACCATCATGGCCAGAGCCAGTGTGGATTAGTGGTTAAGAGCAGTGGACTCATAATCTGGTGAACCGGGTTTGCTTCCCCGCTCCTCCACATGCAGCTGCTGGGTGACTTTGGGCTGGTCACACTTCTCTGAAGTCTCTCAGCCCCACTCACCTCACAGAGTGTTTGTTGTGGGGGAGGAAGGGAAAGGAGAATGTTAGCCACTTTGAGACTCCTTTGGGTAGTGATAAAGCGGGATATCAAATCCAAACTCTTCTTTTTCTTCTTTCCTCCATGAATCAGTCTAATCTTTTAAAGCCATCTAGGTTGGTGGCCATTACTGCCCTCTGTGGGAGCAAGTTCCATGCTTTAATTATGTGCTGCATGAAAATGTCATTTCTTTTACCTGCCCTGAATCTTCCAATATAAGTAGCGTCTACTGGCTGACTCCAACAAGTGGTAGAACGTAGTCTCATCCTTTCAACAAATCTGAATGAATGTTCCATCTTTATGAAGCATTCATTCTGATTACAAGCGCTTGTCCACACCAGAGTTTAATGTGTGCTTGCAGCTATCTGTGGTAAATGTCACTTCAGTGGCACTTTTCTTGTGGTTAACATTTCACACAAAAACTTCTTTTTCTTCTTCCTCTAAAAGAAAATTACAATACGGAAATCCTGGAAACATTTACTGGGGGGAGGGAGAGAATTTTGCTGAGAAATGAGAAAGCAGAAGTTTGAACCAGACAACTCTAGGCTTGAAACAGACGTCAGGAAAGTATCAGAATGTCTGCATAAAGCAAAAATCTTATATTTATGAGCAAAGCCCACCACAATGCAGGATTCAACATACCACTTTATTAAGAATGTTGAACAAAGCAACTGCTAATCTGAAGTCTGTGCAAGGGGAGAGGGGGGCATCAAGTTGCCAGGATTGCTAGTTTGTACAGTGGTACCTTGGGTTAAGAACTTAATTCGTTCTGGAGGTCCATTCTTAACCTGAAACTGTTCTTAACCTGAAGCACCACTTTAGCTAATGGGGCCTCGTGATGCCACCGTGCCGCCAGAGCACAATTTCTGTTCTCATCCTGAAGCAAAGTTCTTAACCTGAGGTACTATTTCTGGGTAAGCGGAGTCTGTAACCTGAAGCGTCTGTAACCTGAAGCATCTGTAACCTGAAGCGTCTGTAACCTGAGGTACCACTGTACCACTGTGTGGGTGGGTGTGTATCCCTCACATCTAATCTAATACTCTGTATTGGAATACAACCATTTGCAGAGGTTGGAGTTTGAAGTATATCTGGAATTCCAGAAACACCTTAAGGTGAGATGAGATGAAGATTCCATGTCTAAATCTGATCCCATTAGCTATAAAGTTAAGTTCACCAGAAGCTGTCTCCTACCAGGTCAGACAATTTGTTCATCTGCCCCAGAACCTACTTCATGGGTGGGGAATCTACATATGTTCAGCTGGAAGGCCATATTCCCTGAGTTTGGGGAGTTTGCATGACAGTAGTGGGTGTGGCCAGAGGCAAAAGTGGATAGAGAAACAGCTGCAACCCTTACCTTTGGACAACCAGCAATATATTCCGGTCATACTGAGCTATGCTGTTCCCAATACATTTTTTTTTGGGGGGGGGAGAAAACAGGACAGTGCCCACTGATAATATATTTCTGGGCAATCTGCCTTAGATCAGCAAAACTTTCCAAATGTTTAAAAATAGTAACAACAAAATAGTTTTCCCACTTCTAAATTAGGCCACAGGAATGCAGAAAGCAAACCAGCTATGAACTTATTTTGTGTTTAAAGGGCTGCAAGCTCAATTCACATTCTTGCATTGAAAACAAAATTTTGGAGCTCAGAACACGCTCAAAGGCTCATTCTTTAATTCTAACAGTATGCTTTCTGTTGGTATACTTCTTAGGTTTCTTTCTTTTCTTTTCTTTTAGGAGATCCAACAGGCTTGAAGTCTGCATGCCCCCATCAAAGCATGGACTCAGTTTCTCAACTTTAAAATGGAAAGAATAGTGGCTTATCTAACAGCAGCAGTATAAAAGCAAAAGGAAGCAAATTAACTTATTGCACATAGAAAATAAGAACGGCAACAATTTCCTGCCACGCCTGTGTGGACATAAGAACCTGCCTTATATCAAGTCAGAACATAACCAGACCTCTATAATCAGGCCTTTGGCTGTTTAAACTATCTCTGGCCTTTTGAATTTGTTGGTGGGGGTTGTTTTCGGTTCTTGGTTATTAATTTTGTGCTCTCATTTTGAATTTTTATGTTGTATACCGCCCTGTGATCTTCGGATGAAGGACAGTACATACATTCAATTGATAAATAAACAAAACAAAACATACATTGGTCTATCAAGCTCATTCTTGTTTACACTGAGTGACAGAGGCTCTTCAGGGCTTCATGCAGGAGTCTCTCCCATTCCAGGCATTGGGGACTTAACTCGGGTCTTTCTGCCTGCAAAGCAGATGCTCTACCAATGAGCTATGACCCTTGCCTTAAATAGAAGGAACATAGAAAGCTGCCTTCTATTGCATTCTTCCATCTAGCTCAGTACTGTCTACACAGACTGGCAGCATCTCTCTAGGTTTTCAGGTAGGGGACCTGTCGAGCCCCTACCTGGAGATGCCAGGAATTGAACTGCATACTTTCTGTGTGCAAAATGGATTATCTATAGCACTTCCCCTTTAAATAAATAAATATAGCCAGTTATAACCTAACCACAGCATCCGAGCAAAACAGGATGCTCAATAGGCATCCCATCTGGAGAAGCCCATCATGTATAAGAAGGGGCAACAGAAGCAGAGCACAGGCTTCACAACCAGAAGGGTCCAATACTGACATTTCCAGCTTGGCTAAAGGGTGCATTGAAGAGTGGCCTCCACTGAAGACCCCAGATATTGTCCACCAATCAAAGTCCCAAACACACTGACTCCAGTCAAGTTCACATATTCATATCTCTGACCAGGAAAATAGATTTTGTTGGTTTAAGCGCACCTGGAGTTCAACTATTAAAAGACACTAGAACCATAAAAGGGGGCAATGCTAACTAGAAGATTTGTATAAACTATCCCCACTCATGTATTTTATTTGCCTCGCTTATAAATGATGCCTTATCCCCATTTCACGGATCAATCAGCTGAGGCCCTGGCTGAGATCAGGGCAAACTCTCTCCACCCCCCAAAAAACAAAGAACCCATACAAAAAATGAGAGAGAAAGGATGCAAACGGTTTGCATCCAGCTGCCAACTGAAGGATGAAGCTGCCTCTTTCGCTTGCAGGAAGTTGACCCGGGAGCGCCAGGCAGGTGGGGCTCTGAGGAATTCTAACAGAACGCATTCTTCGCCTGCTTATGTAATAAGGAGGACAGACTCTTTTCAGCCAGAACCGCCGCCGCCCCCTTCTCTGTCGGCGGACACCAAACGGAGACCCAGAAATAACTGCAACAGATTTCATTTCTGCAATCTTCAGCATGGCTTTTTGCTTTAAAAACGCCTGTCAATGTTTGCAAAGCGCAGCGTCGTGCGCGCGCTTTGTTATTATTATCATCATCATTGAAGAGGCATTTGCAAAGGGCCCCTTTAACCCCCTCCCTAGCGAGCTCGCAGGCTGCCCCCGTGCCGTTCACCCCGGCTGCCCCCGGCCATCCTCCTTCCCCACCCCCGGGGTCTGTTTACAGCGGCTGTCAATCCCCTGTACCCGGGATTTATCCTTTGCATCCAGGCGCGTCTCTTGCACGAAGGGGTTGATCACCAGCGGCGAGGCGAGCGACTGCTGCCTGGGCAAGGTGAAGACCGCCCTCGGTTGCAGCGCTGGCTCCGACATGCCGCCGCCGCCTCCCGCCTGGGCTGCAGATCCGCCTCCCAGCGCCGCCACGGCCGCTTCTGTGCACAGAGTCATCGCGGCCAGGCGAAAGGAGAACCGGGAGATGCTGCGAAAGGCGCTCGCTCCTCCTTGTCTCCAGGGCGCCTGCGCACAATCCATCAACCTGGGAGCGGGGAGGGGGGATTCGCCAACGTTTCCACCTGTCCCTGCTCCTCTGCCTTTTAACAGCAGCTTTCTCGGCGGACTCTAGCAGGCGATGGCTATTTTAGGGCGGTTAGCTGTGCTGGAAGACCTGTATTAGGACTGTGAATTGCGGTTGTTTGGGACAGTTGCCAACTTATTGACCGGAGCCTGTTCCTCTGCCTTTTAAGAGCAGCTTCCTCTGCGGATTTTAGCAGGTGATAATTTCCAAAGTGTAGGTGCTGCCACGCTGAAAGATCAGTTTCTGACAAATGCAGAATAGGTTTTATGTGGCACCTGCAACAGGTGCCAGTTCTGCAGATCGGAGCGGTCCAGGGAGCTTTTATGGAGTAAGGCAATCTCGCACGTAAACTGAAGGATGACTGTGTTTCAGTTCTCATTTTTGAAAAGTGTAACTTAAGTAACTCTGCCTTTAAATGCAAACTGAATCAACCCCCCCCCCCGGGGCTGGGACTGATGGGCATTGTAATCCAATACATCTTTAGGGCGCCAGGATGGCAAAATCTCCTATATACATATACAGATGTCATTTGTTGTAATCGTGGTGGTGAAGGAAAATATTTCCCTTTTTGGCCAAACCCATCCATGGGTCATGGGACCCCTTTTCATTGCCTCTTCATACAATGTTAGAATTGAGCTGTCAACCACAACCCCCAGATCTCTTTCCTGAGGAGTTACTCATAGCAGGTTCTGCCCCCATATATGGGTTTATGTGACAAACAAAAGAGCTGTGCCGTTCTCCCCTCCCCCCACATACGAGAAGCCAAGAGCAAAATAAAACAGGAAGAATGAAAAGGAAACACAAAGCTTTAGAAAGAGGAAATATTTAAGCAGGTTATTTCCCGTTCACCTGCTTTTTTTAAAAAAGGGAAGCCTTTTTAAAACTCTCTCTCACACACAAATAAATAAATAAATAAATAAAATAAAGCTTAATCATATGAAAACATCCACTTAGCAACGGCCATCAGGAACGGCTTAGCTTGGGAAGTGTATTGGTAATAAATCTTTTCTGAAGAAGTGGCAGTTGTATTGCACCTCTTGGACTGGCCACATAACTCAGGAAGACGTCTTTGCATAAATCACGTAAAAGCATCCCGGATCGGGCCAAGGGCCCATCAAGTCCTTCATCTTGTTCTCACAGTGGCCAGTCAGATGCCCCAAAGGTAAGCCCACAAGCAGGATTTGAGCGCAAGAACACTCTCCCCTCCTCTGGTTTCCAGCAAGTTTTCCAGAAGGTTTTTCAGCTAGGGCAAGAGACTAGACTTCGGACCTCTGCTCCTGTAGTGAACTGTGTGGAATATATCCTATAATAGGCTATCTGTAACTGGGCAGAATGCTGCTGTTGTGAAATAAACAATATAGCAATTGTGTCTTTCCAACCCATGAACATAAGTTTCCAGAAAGTAGTGTAGTGGTTACAGTAAGATTGAGAACATCAGACCCAGGGGCTGAAGGAGACCTCTCCATCTGGAAATCACATCAACGAACATCATTGGACAATGCCACTACTCTCCCAACCTTTCTGCACATGTGTGCCTCTGTTCCCCCATGATTCCCCCATGGAAACATCAGGAAAGAACTGCATGCTGGTTTGCTGTTGTTTAGTCATTTAGTCGTGTCCAACTCTTCGTGACCCCATGGACCAGAGCACGCCAGGCACTCCTGTCTTCCACTGCCGCCTGCAGTTTGGTCAAACTCATGCTGGTAGCTTTGAGAACACTATCCAACCATCTCGTCCTCTGTCATCCCCTTCTCCTTGTGCCCTCAATCTTTCCCAACATCAGGGTCTTTTCCAGGGAGTCTTCTCTTCTCTTGAGGTGGTCAAAGTATTCAGGATCTGTCCTTCCAGCTTCAAGATCTGTCCTTCCAGTGAGCACTCAGGATTTCCTTCAGAATGGATAGGTTTGATCTTCTTGCAGTCCATGGGACTCTCAAGAGTCTCCTCCAGCACCATAATTCAAAAGCATAAATTCTTCGGCGATCAGCCTTCTTTATGGTCCAGCTCTCACTTCCATACATCACTACTGGGAAAACCATGGCTTTAACTATACGGACCTTTGTTGGCAAGGTGATGTCTCTGCTTTTTAAGATGCTGTCTAGGTTTGTCATTGCTTTTCTCCCAAGAAGCAGGCGTCTTTTAATTTCGTGACTGTTGTCACCATCTGCAATAATCATAGAGCCCAAGAAAATAAAATCTCTCACTGCCTCCATTTCTTCCCCTTCTATTTGCCAGGAGGTGATGGGCCCAGTGGCCATGATCTTCATTTTTTTGATGTTGAGATTCAAACCATATTTTGCGCTCTCCTCTTTCACCTTCATTAAAAGGTTCTTTAATTCCTCCTCACTTTCTGCCATCAAGGTTGTGTCATCTGCATATCTGAGGTTGTTGATATTTCTTCCGGCGATCTTAATTCCGGTTTGGGATTCATCCAGCCCAGCCTTTCGCATGATGAATTCTGCATATAAGTTAAATAAGCAGGGAGACAATATACAGCCTTGTCATACTCCTTCCCCAATTTTGAACCAATCAGTTGTTCCATATCCAGTTCTAACTGTAGCTTCTTGTCCCACATAGAGATTTCTCAGGAGACAGATGAGGTAATCAGGCACTCCCATTTCTTTAAGAACTTGCCACAGTTTGCTGTGGTCGACACAGTCAAAACTTTTGCATAGTCAATGAAGCAGAAGTAGATATCTTTCTGGAACTCTCTAGCTTTCTCCATAATCCAGCGCATGTTTGCAATTTGGTCTCTGGTTCCTCTGCCCCTTCGAAATCCAGCTTGCACTTCTGGGAGTTCTCGGTCCACATACTGCTTAAGCCTGCCTTGTAGAATTTTAAGCATAACCTTGCTAGTGTGTGAAATGAGTGCAATTGTGCAGTAGTTGGAGCATTCTTTGGCACTGCCCTTCTTTGGGATTGGGATGTAGACTGATCTTCTCCAATCCTCTGGCCACTGCTGAGTTTTCCAAACTTGCTGGCATATTGAGTGTAGCACCTCAATAGCATCATCTTTTAAAATTTTAAATAGCTCAGCTGGAATACCATCACTTCCACTGGCCTTGTTATTAGCAGTGCTTTCTAAGGCCCTATTTGACTTCACTCTCCAGGATGTCTGGCTCAAGGTCAGTAACCACACTACCTGGGGTGTACAAGACATCCATATCTTTCTGGTATCATTCCTCTGTGTATTATAGCCACCTCTTCTTGATGTCTTCTGCTTCTGTAAGCCACTCTGCAAAGGTAAGAATCAGATTTGTTGCTCCACCTACTTTTGCCTCTGGTCCCCCACCCACTGTGGCATGCATCCCCCAGAAAGGAGGGGGAATGTGACCCTAAAGCTGAGAAAGATTCCCCATCCCTGGGTTAGAGGGTTGGATAAGACCTTGAGAGACTCAGGTTGAAATCTCTAATTGGCTGCAAAGCTTCTTGGAAGAAAGATAGTATGGGAGTCACACAGTGGCTGCACCAGAAAAAAAATGGGGGGAAGGGCACAGAAGAGGCAAAGTACTGTACTTTTCCGTGTATAAAATGAGCGGGTTTTTTTTTAAATTTAAAAAATATGTTAAAAATTAGGGGTCGTCATACATGGATAGTGCATAGGGGGGACGTGGGATTGGTTGTCAGTGGCTATTGGTTGTGTTATTGGTGCCTGCGGCAAGGGCTGGTGTTGATTGACTGTTGCTGCAGCAATTGGGCAGGTGATTGGCAGCTTCTGCCAGTGAGGGGACAGATGATTGTTTGCTTTTGTGATGCATATGAGTGGCAGAGTATGACAGGCGGGTGAGCATTTTTTGTAAATCCCCTCCCCAAAGCTCAGCAGCTCTGGGCAATCTCCCCCCATTTTCTAAATTTGGAGTCCCCCAAAATAGGGGGCATCTTATACATGGTGTGTGTGTGTGTGTGTGTGTGTGTGTGTGCATTATACACGAGGAAATACGGTATATTTTGATGGGAATAAGAAAGAAAAATAACAGGATATGTTAATGACAGGAGCTCAGAAATGGGGGGACGGACAAGTGGGGCAAACTCCTTGTTTAGGGGAGATGCTTGGCCCTCCACCCCCCTCTGGTGTTGCCTATGGGATTATAACAACATGGGGGAGATAGTCTACTTAAAGTTGAAAAGTGGGGTTTGTACCTGAAATATTTGATCTGTTGCAGCCGAGGTCAAATAATGACCGATTTTGAGCAACATGAAGAACCACAGTTTTATTTGAGCCATACACTATTAGTCTGCATTCCTGGTTAGGATTACCATCTCATCCCATAAGAAACATGGCACCTCAGTCCCCGTGAGCTGACATTTGTGCACCTTTGCCTCGTTCAGCTCAAACTACCCCTGATATGTAGAATGCTTAGCACCTACTTTGAAAATGGGCCCCCATCTGGTGGCCATAGTGAAGTAGTGCAGCTATAATCAGTGAGGATTATTTTATCTATCTCTTAATCTTCCATGATTCTCAGTAAGCAAGTGGCTCCCAGGAAGCTGTTACACTTCAGTGTGGCCAAGAGTGTAAGCAGAAAGTAGAAATGATGTGAGAGAGCTGTGAGCAAGATTTCCTGCAGTCTCTCAGAATGTTAATAGCAGCGGGGTGTGATAGGAACATGTGTACTCTGTATCCACGGGGCCACTTTTAAAGGACTCACCCTGTATATAGCTTATACATGAATAAATTGGTACTGAGTCCGCAATCTTCTGAGGGAGTCTGTTCCACTGTCAAACAGCTCTTATCATCAGAAAGTTCTTCCTGATGTTTAGTCAGAATCTCCTTTTTGAATTGATTGGTTCATGTCCTACCTTCCAAAGTTTTTATTTTTTTTATTTTTTTGTAAATCAAGGAAAGCTTTTCAGTTTATTTCACAGTGACTGTGGGATTATTGTTTTTCTGTGAGGATGTTTATTCTTTGATCTTTGTATTCATTGT